ACTTGTTTCATTTCTATAGGTTTTTAACATTCTAAAAGCTCTTTATTCCAAAGATATACTCCAAGCTAGTTAGTGTATTCAGTAGGTGCAATGTATTGTAAGTTGCTTCAGAGGCATACGGTATTGCAAGTATTAAATACAACAATAATAAAACCGTGCATTGACATAAAAAATTAAATTTACTTTTGGTACTTAAGTACTTTTAAAAGCAAGTACTTCAGTACTATTGCTTAAGTAAAAATCTGTCTATACAACTTCCACTTGCAATGGAGTAATATTTGACCAGCAGTATCTGTATTTTCACTCAAGTAATGGAGTTGAGTACTTTGTCCGCCTCTGGTTGTTACACAAAATCAAGCAGTTTATAAGGTTTATCTCTCTATATACTTTAGACATGTAGAACATATCTGCATTTCTGCATCAAACCAGCAGTATCTGTATTTTCACTCAAGTAACAGAGTTGTTACCTCTGATATTAATAAATATTAAATTTAACTTAAGTAGACAATTAAATTGGTAGAATGCACATAGAAATATTTTTTAATTTACATTTATTTTATTGCTCTATGCATTTATTTCTCATTTTTATTGATCCATTTTCAATAGCACATAACATTTTATAAGTAAAAAAAAATTACTTGAAACAGTATATTCACAGTTTGTGATAAAAAAAAGTCTGAAAATATATGTTAAATACATTTTGTTTTATTTTTGTAATGCATTTTTGTAAAGTCATCATTTTGTTTGTTTGTCTGCTTGCAATGGTTAGGAATGCTATTTTTTTAGTGTGATTTTTGGAGACTTTTATTAAAACGCTCAGGGCTTCATCATTATACAATATGAATATAATATAATCATCATAATCATTAATTATAATAATAATAATGAATAGCAATTGTTGTGAAAATGTATTGTCCCCATTGTTTTTTAATTCATAGATAAAACAACCAATGTTCAAATGTACAAATGTCAATGTTCTTTTGACCACTAAACTAGGAAATGTCCATTTCAGAAATCTGGTCACTTTACATTACAATGTTCCTTACGGACACAGAACTCAAGAATATACAGAACCCGAAATATAGCTGTCATAATTTCAAGAGGCAGCGCTTTTATGACAAAGTGAGTGTATTTATTTCTTTACGCCTTCTATGTGAATTGAACACCGAATGTGGTTGACTTTAATAAAACTACTCTCAAAGATATTTTTAAGCATGGACTTAACAAGCCTGCCTTGAGACCAAATTGAGTGATTTTGCCCTGGCTTCTGAGTCATTCACCGTGGATGTACTGTGTAAGATCCGCTCTCACTTCACAGAGACAGCACCTCTATCTGGAGGCAGCACCCACCACCCACGGACCACTAAAGGAAGGAGGAGGAAAGAGGGATAGGCATCCTTGCTATAGTCCCAGGGTTGTCATCACTAACACCAGTGAACTCCCACCAGAGCAGCCCAGAGCCCAGTCTGAACCCTGCAGCGAAACCTTTCCACTGTCCGCCATCCATGAGTTTCGTGTGCTTCCTGTTATGACCATGGAGTACATCACCAGATGAACATGAACTGCCCCATTAATCAAGCATAGAGCTAATTCTGGCAGGTCACGTCAGTCAAGCTTACATCAGCTGATCCATGTCTACCTATAGGAAAATGACGCTTTAGCGCTTTGATCAGGAGCTAATTACCCTCCTCCATCCCCAGCTCCTCCTTTTGTCCACAGTCAGGATTTGGCCTTCTGTTTTTCCATGTTGAATCAGAGTCCTTTATCTTGAATTATGTTGTTACATTAAAATGTCATTAAGAATGTTAATGATATCTGCTACATTTGCTTCTGTTCTGTTTACCCTAGGGGGGTTATCACTGCTCTCTCTGGTCTCATCCATGCTAGGCTGCATGGATGGGCAGGGAGTTTGTCCCAGAACAGAACCATACCACCAATCCAAACTGTATGCTAATTGTCAATCATCTTTGATGATAGTGGACCTGTCAGAAATGTTGTTTCTTATGCTCAAATAGCATTTGATCACGTTGATCCAGCGAAAGCACAGTCCTAAGGCCCAATCCCAATTCTACCCCTTAGCCCTTCCCCTTTCCCCAAATTCTCAATTCTCTTTTGGTTGGAGGGGTAGGGGTAGGGGTAGGGCCAGACAGCCCTTCAAACGAAGATTTTTTGGGACCACACTTCAAACGAAGGGGTATGAATTATCTCAGCGTAAACCGGCTTCAGGGGCAACATGGCTGCCCGAGCGAACAAAAAGACACATAAATTTAAGCAGTTTTGGCATTAATAAAGATTTTAACGAAAAGTAATCATTTGTTTTATGTTACATTCAATCGTGAGTTCATATTTACGGTCATGTTACTCAAAGAAATGGTAGCAAAAAATCGCTAATATTTGCTAACTAACGTCATATTTTATCCTCTCGTTGCTGGAAAATATAATGTAGCAATTCAGTATTTAAACTGATATTAATAAAAGCCGTGGGGCAGCATTGACAAGTTTCTTTTCTCCTGGATGTGTGAGATGCGTGATCTCCGATATATATATGTATGTGTGTGTGTGTGTGTGTGTGTCAGTAAGCAGCGCATTAATATAGAACGATAATTAAAGGCTCTAATGCACACCAGTATAGGTGTGTGTATTGTAGGAGCTAGACGACGTATGATGACGTGTGACGGCAGAGTAGTGGTGTCCCAATTCTTAGGGGAATATTTTCACCCCTACCCCTTGACACTCTGTTTCAAGGGACAAGGGGAAGGGGTAGTCGGAGGGGTAGGGGAAGGGAAAGGGGTATAAAATAGAATTGGGATTGGGCCTAAGTGTGCATCTCAGAACTTCAGAGCTTCTAACGGAAGCTGCAATGATGCAATGACTTTACCAATTACCGATTCCTATTCATAATTTCATAATATAAGCGCATCATCTTGGTATATACAAAAGTCTTTGTCGATGACGTTGTGAAGGCCAGCGTCAAAAGCAACAAGCAACAAGTCAGCAAGCACCGTTGTTCGAATGAGGCGTTAAACTGAAGTCCTGACTCTCTGTGGTCATTAAAAATCCCAGGACCAAAATATTACATATCACATATCTTATCACATACATTCTTCAGTGAGGAGTTGAAGTAAGCCAAGAGCAGATAAACACAGAAAACATCGCCACCTGGTGGTGAAAATCATAAAGTGTTTTTCTGTCAATTATCTTTCAGGACATATGCTAGTGTATTTGACAGTTTGGTTTTGTTTTCTTAATAATGTTACTTGGCCACTGGCTCTCCAGTGTATCATTGTTGTAACAAATTTAAGTATGCAGAAACTAAATGAAGGTGGCAGCCGCAAAGATATAAGGATTCCTAAAGGTATTAGCAATATTTTGAACATGTGAAAGCTATTGCCTCAAATATAGCTATACAGTACCGGTCAAAGTTTGGGTTGCACCTACTGGTAGGACACCCTTGTAAAATAAGTACACCTCTTTTATACTATGTTTTAAAAGATTAATAATAGTATACTTCAGAAGTCTTTACTTAACTTCTGAATGTAATATTTTAAGACAATTACATATCATAGTAATTTAATGAATTTTTAGAACATAGCAATTAAATGAAAATGCTTTAGTTCAAATTTATACTAAATGCAATTAGTTAGGAATTTAAAGGAATAGTTCACCCATAATGAACATTTTGTCATCATTTACTCACCCTCATGTCCTTCCAAACCTGTATGAGTTGCTTTCTTATGTTGAACATAGAAGATATCTTGAAGATTGCTGGTAACAAAATATCTTCTTTTGTGTTCAGCATAATAAAGAAACTTATTCAGGTTTGGAACAGCGTGGCGGTGAGTAAATTATGACAACATTTTCATTTTTGGGTGAGCTACTCCTTTAGAATACTTTTTTGACCCACTTTTTTTTTTTTTTTTTTTTTCCCAATAGCTTATATTGTCTTTGATATCTGGTTAAAGTTCTGCTGAATTTGTACTGACAAGCATTTATAATAAACTAAAATATACTTAAATATAATTTCTATTGAAACTCGTATTTCATGTATTTTAATATAGCTATTTGTAATGACTCATTTGTAATGATGATGTTGCAGTTTAGAAATTATAACTATATTTACTTTAAATTAAATATCAAGTACTTTACATGTGCTTTAGTATGTTCAAAATCCAAATGTATGTTCATCAAAATAAGTGCACTTCTTTAAAGCACAACAAAAGATTCTTAAAACCTTTAAAGCATTATTACAAATTGCACTCTTTAAACGTGCACTTAAGTGTGTTAAGAAAAGTGTTTCTCTTTAGGTGCACTTAAGTGGCCTTTTATTTCAATTCATTTTAAAAATATACTGTGTATATACTTATACACAGGCTATATATAATTTTATATATATGCTTAATAATTTATATATATATATATATATATATATAATTGAATGTGCTCGCGTAGTGTAGTTCAAATCTCAAAAGTATATTACGATAGGATATTTTGTAAATTTCCTATCGTAAATATATCAAAACTTAATTTTTGATTACTAAGGACTTAATTTGGACAACTTAAAAGGCGATTTTTTTCAATATTTTGATTTTGTTGCACCCTCAGATTCCAGATTTATCCTAACGAGACATACATCAATGGCAAGCTTATTTATTCAGCTTTCAGATGGTGTATAAATCTAAATAAAAAAAAATTGACCCTTGAAAACTGGTTTTGTGGTCCAGGGTCACATATATTCCATATATTTTCGCTACCGCTCCGTTCCGATTTATCAAACTCAGAGATTTGAGCAATAGGGACATACTGTACGAGGTTGAGTCTTTCGCCTCCTAGTGTTTTCTTATTGGTCGTCCACGATTACAGCACGACTATTTGCAAGAGCCGCCCTCAAGTGGCAGCGGTGTGATTTGTGTGTGTAGCCTATATGAGAGAGAGAGAGAGGAACGACCGCTCCAAATCCAATGGCATGTGCGCATTTGCGCGCTTTGAAGCAGATGATACCCGAGCACCTAAGACAGGTCAGCGGAACGATGCGTCTAAACAGTTCGCAACAGCGCAGTGTTGACTGTGATGAAGAAAAACAAGGCAACCCAAAAGTTTAGTTTAGTCAGAAGGCAGTTATAACAGGAGGAATCTGCGGAGGTCATGTTCTGAGACCGAGGCGCGGAGCAGACGGAGCGGGATGAAGTCGGTGACACGGAGCGCCAGGCGCTTCTGCTGCTGTGGAGTCGGGCTTCTCGCGGTGGTGTGGCTCGCACAGGTCCTGCAGCTGACAGGTTAGGACAACCACAGACAAAACATTCATTAGTGTTACAACATCATCCCTTGGTCATCCTTCTGTTCGTGAAATGCATTTTGAGTTTAGTTTTTTTTTTTTTTTGAGAATCTCATTTGTGTGCCTCCGCATCTGTGCTCCTAATGAAGAGGAGCATACTGATTTATAAACATTAATAAAATAAAATAAATGAACTTTAAATAGTTTGTTGGTCTTTTTATACATTACAAATAACAATAGCCTAATAATTTAGCCAAAATGTGACCCTGGACCACACAAAACCAGTCATAAGGGTCAATTTTGTTAAATTGAGATTTATAAATCATCTGAAAGCCGAATAAATAAGCTTTCCATTGATGTATGGTTTGTTAGGATATGATATTATATATTATATCATATTTGGCTGAGATACATTGAGAAAATCGCCTTTAAAGTTGTCCAAATGAAGTTCTTAGCCATGCATATTAATAATCAAAAAATAAGTTTTGATATATTTACAGTAAGAAATTTACAAAATATCTTCATGGAACATGATCTTTACATAAAATCCTATAATGATTTTGCCATAAAAGAAAAATCAATAATTTTGACCCATACAATGTATTGTTGGCTATTGCTACAAATATACCTGTGCTACTTATGACTGCTTTTGTGCTCCAGGGTCACATATGGTTTTCTTTTCATAAAGCAGCAATTACTATTTTACATGATTCTTCTTCTGGCTTCTCCTTCTAGTAAAACCCTCTTCACACCTGCGTCACAGCACCGCTGAAAGGTGTTTCCCCATGCATTTAACCTATAGTATATATAAAGCCTGTATATTGCAGTTAACATGTAATTGCTGCTGTATTATGGACATGTTGAATGCCACGTTGGATAGAATATAATATTTTCCTTCTTGATGCAAACCCATGACTTTGCCATTGGTAGTGTCTGCTCTACCAGTTGAGTAACAGAAACTCTATATTTATGATTTTGCAAAGAGAAGGAAGGTGACATGATATAGTGCTCATTATTTAGAGGAAGAGAGAGAAAGACCAATCTATATAAAGTATCCTACCTAAATCAAGTTATATTGCTGCATTAAGGGTTCAAAAGTGTCCAAAATAACCTGATTCTAGAAATTCGCATACCAAGGGTTAAAGCAATAATTAGATGCTTCCTATAGTTTTATTATTGTTATATTAAGAGATCAGTTCTTTTGTGGTTTTGGGAACCTCAGAGGTGCTGTCTTTATCAAGTATTTATCTCTTGAAACACTCAAAAATAAATGAGCCTTGCATATGAACTTGAGCTTTTTTGAGGCTGTTTATAAATACTAATGAATATTGGTTTGCAAACATATTATTTGCAGCAGATGCGCTTGTAAACACAGTGTTAACATTATAATTGGAGGAACCAACGGCAAGCAAGAAATTATCCTTGTTAAAAAGAGTACTTATTATGGAAACAATATACTAAAGTGCAAACTGAATGTAATGTTTTTGGACACTTGTTGCATGTTAAATGCAATAAAAATTATTATTGTTCAAATTAAAATTAAATGCAATTAGTTGAACTTTAGAGTGCTTTTTGACTCACTTAAGTAGAACTTGAGTACATTTTATATGTAATTGCATAATTATTTCCATTGTCTTTGAAGTTGTCTTTTTATGGTAAAAAATGTAAATACACTAATGGCATTTCTATATGAAATCTATTTAACTATATTTGTAATCGCATATTTGTTAGGATGAAGTTGCAATTTAAAATATATTAACTTAAAAACACTACAATTATAATCATGTGCTTTGCATGTTAGTCAACACATACTTCTTTAAGGCATGACAAATGATTATTAAAACTAATGTTTAAAATGTACTTTAAAGTAAAACTTTTAATGTGACATTACTACAAAGTGCACTTTTTAAAAGTGTACTTAAATGTGTTAAGAAACATAAAAGTATCTTTCTTTATGTCACTTAAGTGGTCTTTTATTTCATAAATATATAATAATAATAATAATAATTTTTATTTATATAGCACCTTTACAGGGTTCAAGGATGCTTTACAAAGTACATGCAACAAGGAAAAAATAACACTGGAAGGGTAGACAATGATGACAGACAATAGTTAGTAGAAACAGCAAAATAATATTATATAGACAGGGTAGCATGCAGCAAAGTAGAATCAAGCACTACGAAATACGAAACAACATATGGATGATAACATTCAGAAAATAAGTATTATCTGCAAGTGTAGTCTTTTTTAGACTTTAAAGTTTTGAAGTACACTTAAGTGCACATCAATCCGTTTTTCACAAGGCACAGTAATGATATATAGACAGATGGTCACTTTCAGTCTACAGTGTGTGTGCAAGTTGAAAAAAACAAACATTATTCTGCTCAAGTGTACTTGTATAATTGGATTAGTTGAATAAAGAACAGCCACAGGTTTATACCCACTGACAGTAGACTGATCCACGACAACAAACTGTTCCAGCGTGATCTTCGTGTGTGGCATCAGTTGTTTCATTTTTATGTTTTGTGATGACAGAGAGGACGGTAGTGCAGCAGAGGAGCTGATTTTACCCATATATAGCATCACAAAACGAAAGCTGGAAAAATATGCCCTATAAAGAGAGCAAGAGAGACAGTCTGATAAGAAAGTTTTTAAACCGCTTGGTGAGAACAGCTTCAAAAATCTTCGAACAACAGAGTAATAAGCACATTAGAAATGGCATAATCTGAAGGCAGTTTAAACCACACTCTTTTGTCTCAATTTGAACTCAAAAATCACAGATTTTTAACATAAACTGTTAATGAAATCTTTGAATTTTAAGTGAGAATCACCTCTGAGTTTTTACTGAAATAATCTTAATCACCTGGCTTCACTGATAAAAATGTTCAGGCTATAGAACCTGGCAAAATGATGATGAGATGTCCAGTCTGCTTTTAGACAATTATCGGACTGAAAGCTCGCAAAGACACAATATCTGAATGCTTACAACGTAAGCTGAACTTTAAGATCAAGAAAAGAAAAACATAGATTCACATGTGATTTTTTTTATGCTGAGTTTTGTGTTTGTTTTTTATGTACTCACCCTGTAGATGAGTTTGTTTCTTTATTTTGTATTTGAAGAAATGTAGCATTCCATCACTTTCTCAGCAATGGATGCTCTGCAGTGAATGGGTGCCGTCAGAATGAGAGTCCAAACAGCTGATAAAAACATCACAATAATCCACAAGTAATCCACACCACTCCAGTCCACCAGTTAATATCTTGAGAAAATAAATTCATCTTTTTAAACGGCCACTTCTGGCAAAATTCATAATCCATAATATCGCTTCTTCCAGTGAAAAAGTTCATCCAATGCTGTCCTCTCACATCACAATCCACCCAAATATTTGAAAACAAAACAGTTTTGGGCTCTTTTGACTTGTAAATGGTGCTTGGTCCATGTATATTTCTCTCCTGATTCACACGAGACTACTTTTTCACTGGAAAAAGCAATCAATATTAAGGATAGAGGACCCGTGTTTTTGCCAGAAGCAATGTTAATCCACACCACTCCAGTCCACCAGTTAATATCTTGAGAAAAGAAATTCATCTTTTTAAACGGCCACTTCTGGCAAAATTCATAATCCATAATATCACTTCTTCCAGTGAAAAAGTTCATCCAATGCTGTCCTCTCACATCACAATCCACCCAAATATTTGAAAACAAAACAGTTTTGGGCTGTTTTGACTTGTAAATGGTGCTTGGTCCATGTATATTTCTCTCCTGATTCACACGAGACTACTTTTTCACTGGAAAAAGCAATATTATGGTTAGAGGACTTGTAGTTTAGCCAGAAGCCAAGATTAGAAATGCTTTAATGGTGGATTTGGTTTTATAAAAACATGCAGCTTTTCACTTCTCAAGACATTATCTGATGGACTGGAGTGGATTATTGTGGATAATTTTGATGTTTTTATCAGCTGTTTGGACTCTCATTCTGACGGCACCCATTCACTGCAGAGCATCCATTGGTGAGCAAAATCAACAAAATGCAATGCAATTATGATTTCAGAAAATATTGCTTTATTTTAGGTAAGCTGTCCAAACATACACATAGCCCACAAAACAACAAAATTCAGATTTCAGTTGTTAAATTTGGCTTGAGACAGATGATGTCAAATCTGTCGTGAATTACAGAACTGCATAATTTATCTACTAATTTATGGCAGATAAATTATTCGTTTTAAAAAGCAACTTGTATATGTGTCGGTGCGACAACCGTTTTCATCTTTGACGTACTGTATCCTCACAGTATTATATACAGTATAATACAACAGAACAGGATGTTGCATAGCTTTGCCACACTGTTGTGTTTTCTCGCTGCCAAGTGAAAACTAAACAAAATGGTTCTGGTTGTACAGTATGTGCGTCAGGACACATGCTTACGTAGTGGAGCTTGAAGTGCCTTCTGGTGCCGAATGTCTTTACTCAAGTATACTTGCTCGCAAATACCTTTTTTGGTTTACCTGATGGATTCATAAATGTTTTTATTAACATTGTTGACTGTTGCAGTGACAGTTAGCAGATATAGAAGTAAACTTTTGTACACATTTGGTTGTGAAAGGTGTAGTGATATATTCATTTCTCATGTCATTACAGAGATCAAGTCTTCGTGGCCAGAAACAGACTTTCCCAGACGCAGGGTCCTGCAGTATGGAGTCGAAAATCAAACAATTGACACTCCCAGAGCAGGTGGGCAACAAATGTTTTATAATGTTTGCATTCCAGAACATTTTAAATCTCACATTTATATTTAAGATTTTATGGTGTGCTATTTATTTACTGTTTTGTGGTGATTGATACAAACTACTAAATATTTGTTTTGCCCAAAGGCCTCTGCTTGAAAGATATATAACATTTACACAGTATATTTGTGTGTGTTTGTAGCTCTAGGCTACTATGGATGCATGGAGTATATTCCCTAAACTCCTCTTGTGAAAATGAAGTCTGCTTCATTGTATTGAATGTGCACTTGTAGCATAAAAAAAAACACTAAATGTCTAAAAATCTAAACATCCTTAAACTCAAGGTATATATTTGCTTGAGATGCAAATGTAAAAAGTCTTTAAAAATGAACAAAAATGAGTTTAAATGAGTTTATGCTTAAAACAAGAACCAATGTATGTCAGTAGCGGTTTGAAAACTTTTTTTCTGGTCCCATTTGCATGTTTAATTTGAGTTCTTGTTTAAATCATAAACTCACTTTATTTTAATCGATTTCATTCTTAACAAGACTTTTTATCTGATGCCATTTTGATTCTCAAGTAAATGTGTATCAATTTTAAAATAATCACTATTTTGTGTTTCCTTCAATATATTTCTTAATTTTTTTACTTGGTCTTAAAAATGTTTTCAGAGTCTTCATTTTATCTTGATAAAACCTGCAAAAACCTGTTAATGAAATAAAAGTCCACTTAAGTGACATAAAGAGAGACATTTTCATGACTGTGCTACTTAACACACTTAAGTACACGTTTACAAAGTGCACTTTGTAAAAATGTCAAATTAAAAGATTTACATTTAAAGTATATTTAAATAATTGTTTTAAGTGCTTTAAAGAAGTACATTAAGTCAATGTATAAAGACAATAGAAGTAATTATGAAATTACATGTAAAGATGTACTGAAGTCCTACTTAAGTGGGTCAAAAATTACTCAGTCAAAGGTAAAAGTTCAGCTTTCAACTATAATACATTTTCATTTAATTGCAATTAACACTCAGTTAAGTGTCCAAAAACATTACATTAAGTTTACACTTAAGTATATTCTTTTAAAATACATTATTTCCATAAGAAGTACTCTTTTAAAATTATGTAAAAAGTGTACTTCTTTTTCACAAGAGTCTGCTTGACCTTCGGAAAGCAGAGTTCTATCTGAAGAGGCCACGTGTTGCAGAGATGTATGAATTATTGTTGCAAAACAGAAAAAAAGGACATAGAAAACATACACTGTCCAGAGATATCAGGAGGCTACAGCAAACATAAACAGATGTCAGGAACAGATGCTCTACTGCCTCATCTGGAAAACACTTACAGCCATTGATCTCAGACAAATGCCTCTGTTGTTATTATTGTAGTTCTGTTGCAGTTTGTGTATTATGCAGACAAAGTACTGAGAACTGAGATCACAGCATGGTCTGTCTGCTTTAATCTGTGAGCCCAGCAAGTAGTTTAAATAATGGCGAACACCACAGAATGGATGCTTGCGGCACTGTTAGTTGCCAAAATTAGACCTGTACACTCAAGCATTGAAGATACACAGTCAGGGATGTCAGGGATAAAGCGAACCAAAACACTATCAATCTAGATCTTTTGATAAAGAGGATCTGATTTCCCCAATGAATAGGTCAAATCAAAGAGTGTTAGAACAAATGACATGAGTTATCGACTCAATATTATTAAAACCTGAATACATTAGGTTTCTCCACATTACTAAACTCCCATACGCATACATGCAAAAACATAATTCTACCTAATTCTACTGAATGTGCACTTGTAGTGTACTTCAAATCTTAAAAGTATATTTCTACAAAAGTACTTGCAGATAATATAATATTAATAAACTAAAAGGCCACTTAAGTGACTTAAAAGAGTCATTGGATGCCCATTTTCCACAAGTTGATATGATTCTTTAGGGTCTTAATGAAAAGTCTATAACATACTTTGGTTAAAATTTCTCAGTGGTAGTGTAAAACAACACCCTTTTTACCCTGTCAAAAACAGCTCTGTTCACAGCCAGCCGTTTCGGTGCATGTCCCTTTAAATGCTAATGAGCTCTGCTGACCCCGCCCCTCTCTTCTGTGGGGTGACGAGCGCTTCCCTGAGGCTGTAAACTTTAGCCGCGGAACTTGCTAACTAGCACATTATTAGGAAAGACGATTTGCAAAGATTCATAAAAAAAACTTTATACTCACTTCATCTGTAGGTGAAGCTGGATTACAAATGATTCGCGCGAACATAAACGCATGGGGGGTGCATTCCCTTCAAAAACAAAGGTAATCCACTGCGTCTTGAGCGGCTCGGATGTCGGGAGCAAGAATCTCAGTGCAGCCTGATCTGTGAAAGTGATTATTATTATTGGGGATTTCTTCAAAAGCACTGGGTGGATTTTTATCATTATACGGTGGATGTGTAAACACACATCTATGTTTAAACAACATGTAAAAGTGAATTTAGCATCCGATGACCCCTTTAAAGAGAGACACTTTCATGACTGTTTTTTAACACACTTAAAAAGTTGCCTTTGTAATAATGTCAAATTAAAGGTTTTTGTACATTTAAAATCATTATGTTTTAATAATCTTTTGTCATGCTTTAAAGAAGTACACTTATATCAATGTGTTGACTTGTAAAATATTCAATATTACATCATATTACATAAGTACTCTTTTTTAAAGTATGCTAAAATGTAATTTTTTTTAATAAGGGTGGGTTCTTTGGCCTTTTAGAAAATAAACTTGTACAACACACAGTTATGCATTTTATGTATCCTACTGTAAACATGCACAAAATGAATAATATTGTTACATCTTCACCATGTAACAAAATGATTGCTTGTTTGGAAGTTTCCACTATTGCACTGAGACAAGAAGCATTGAGTTGATCCAAGAGAGAGCATTCACTACGGGTTTATAGTGGAGGGTAGAAAGGGTAATTGCTAAAAAGTCATGCAATTTTGTTACTGTGTTAAAGCAATTCAAAAAGTGCTTAATTTTTAACCCTCTGGTGCTTTTCGACTGGCCGGTCAAAAATTTTTTTTTTTTTTTACATTTATTTCAGTTAAATAAATGTACTGTATTTTAGTTTCATAATGTTTGATAATGTTTATTTAATATATATTTTTTTTTATTTTTAGGGGATTTTATTATACTAAATTATATTTATGCTGTAGTCCATTTATTACCTGTTGACCACTTTTTGAGCATAGAAAAAAGATTTTGTTTTGGCGCAGTACCATATGTTTCCACTAGGAAATTCGTTTTCCATTAGTTTCCAGTGCTAAGGGAAAATCCGAAGACTACAAGTGTGACTATTTTTTTTTTCGGGACCATTTAACTTTTTCAAATCATGTCCATGATTTGTGTGTGTGTGTGTATGTGTGTGTGTGTGTGTGTGTGTGTGTATGTGTGTGTGTGTGTGTGCGCGCGCGCGCATGTGTTCACATAGCAAGTAGAACAAATCTAAAAAAATTATAAAAACATTTTTGAAGTAAATTTTTTTGGTCAAATATGAACATCAGGGGGTTAAGTGTTAGACTTAAAGATGACTGCTGTGAAAATTTGTGAGTTTTGTTTTTATACATTGTGTTTTGATATTAAAATACAAGTAAGTTAGCATTGTTGTTAAAGGTTAAATCATGTTTCATGTGCCATGTCTCACTTTGTGAGTATGAGAATATAATAGGTAACTCATCAATTCAAAGAGCGCTAGCAAAAATGCTCTGAGTTAATGACTGCTCTCATTGTCAGATCTGCAATTGGATGAAATGCTGTTGGCAAAATCTCCAGTATTTTGCTTGTCTGTGAGAGCTGAGCAATATTACGTTTAATAGGTGCAGTTCCATAAACTGCTCTTCCATAATTAGAGGGGATTATGTAATAAGTCTGAGATTGATTTCTTTTTTCTGTCTCTCTCTCGTCCTCGCCATTGTTTTTGTTCCTTATAAAAAGGCCGAGACGGCAGACCCCGTCTTCAGACGAGAATCCTTTGAGGGTTGTGTTGCTTGGCAACTGAATGCTAAATTTTGGGAGTGCGTGTGTTTGTGGAGAGCCATGTGAGAGCGGGAGCTTAGATGAAAAAGACAGAGGCGGCGAGAGAGAAAGGTGGGAGGAAATAAATAATGAGAAGGAAAGGGAAGATGCTATTTTTAGGCATGTCAGTAATCATTGCACATGATGTTCTATGCGCTGGCCAGATATTTTGTGTACATTTCAGAAGGAGTATAGGTAGCTAGAAAATCCCTTACAGACAAGCACAATCACTGCAATCTAATAAAAACAAATCATGCTGCATCATTTTTGACTGTGTGGTAATCAGACCTGGAGTGTAACCTCTTCTGACATGATGCATTAAAGTCACATGGCATAAGCACAAGTAATTGCTTTCAGTTGGATATGATTTGCCCAGTATTTAGGGAAAGTGACCCTAATAAGCCTATGGACCAAATAAATCCTCCTGTTGGTTAGAAATATATAAATAACAGAAATATTATAATATAAAATATAAAACAAAAATATAAATGACAAAAGCATGAGAGAAATATTTCAAAGTAATGCATATGTTTGTTACCGTCATTTTACTTTTTATTTGGAGCCAATCAAATGTCGAGATCTTGAGTTATTTGTAATAATGTGTTGTTACTGTCTGGTTGAAGTCGCATCCAAAACCAATCTTTTTTCTACATACCAGTGACTAAACTAACTGTGTATTGATTAAATTATGAGATTGATAAATTGATTGAAACCTAGTATAATTAATTGTTTTGCTATATATATATATATATATATATATATATATATGTACAGTATACTGTATATGTGTGTGTGTGTGTGTGTGTGTGTGTGTGTGTATAGGAGGCACAACGTAACACTTTTTGACTTTCTCCGTTTGTGTAAATCCACATGGGATTCAAAATATAATTTTTTATCCACAGTAATTTCACACTTGTCTAGTGCAAATATGTCACTTTGTTTCATAATTACAGTGCATACGTTTTTCTTTATTTACCCTCAAAAATTGGAAGTGAAATGTGACAACATGCCCCGTAGGTGGGGTACATTGTAACATCTGAGGGGTATACTGTAACATGAGTGTATATGACAGCTTCAAACGTTATCTGATCTCATGAAAAAAATATACAAGACAAACTAAAATATTTTGCCAATAAAATATATATATATTTTTTTGTATAAAATAATTGAATTTTTTAAGAATTAAAAATAATCTGATTTTGGAGTTTGACAATGAACACATTGCAACCAGGCTTGGGACGGCCCACATAAACAAGCCAAAGAGCTGTACATGTCTTGTCTCATTTTAAATGAATAATAACAACTGAGATGAAAAATTTACTTAAGCCAGAAATTTAATTTTACTATGGTAAAATAAATGTTCAGCGATATCTACAAAAGATGTTTTAATTTTGGCGCACTTTTTTCTCTATACAATGTTGATATGGTAACTAGTAAATACTGTAAATTGTCTTATGCTAGCATGTGTGGAAATATTTAAACCACGTGTATTACAACTAACCCTGTGTTACTTTGTGCCCCGCGATCCCCTATATACAGTTAGGTCTGTATATATTTGAACACTGACACAATTTTCATAATTTCGGCTCGGTATGCCACAGAACAGAATTAAAAATAAAGCAATCAAGATGATATTGAAGTGCAGATTTTAAGCTTTAATTCAAGGGGTTTAATGCTGTACCGGGTGCGCTATTGAGCAAGTTTACTACATCAGAAAAGCCATATATATGGAGCTGGTTATTTGATGCAAATGTCAATATGTGTTACTTTACAAATCATGCACTATGCTAAAAGGTCATAACAGAGTATTGTGCATTTATTAATCGATAATATGCCCCTGTAATCATAATTTGTGAGAAAAGGAATAAACTTTGTTGATGTTTTACTGTTATTAGTGTTCATTTCAACTGAAAAATATAATGAATTATTTACACACTTTCTCTATTTTTGTTGGAGTCAAGCACCGTCTTATATGTGCGTCTTTCTCACAGAACCCCAAGACGTTCTCCCTGGGAGAGGAAAATTGAGTATTTTTAGCAGTTGCACTTCTGTGTTGCTTGTCATCTCTTTGGTCCCTCCTTTTTTTTCCATATTTCCTAAATCAAGTCCATGGGAAAGATATGTCCTCCACTCAGTTTCTCACTTTCGCTCTGTTGCCATTGGCTTCCAGCCGCTGTTCGTCAACGATTCACTGCCCTAGGGAAGACGTCGCCATAGTAACTGCCTTCATCGGAGATGGGTTTTCAGCGCGATTCAGAGATTTACATAGAGCCAAAACATGTCTTTTGACACTGGGCTACAGAAGAGGATGGAAAGATGACAAAAAAGAGGAAGGAAAGGAGATGGAGGATAGAGAGAGAGTGAGATAGCAAAGGAAAAAAGACGAGAAATTAGAGAATTCAAGAAAAAGAAACCATAGTAAATAACTAAGGAGGGGTGAAGTTGTTCTGTCTGGGATATAAAGGGCAAGACAGAAAATTATCCCTGTGCATGTGTTTGCTTTTGTTAGTGGAAAATGTTATTGCTCAAAGTCAAAGGAGATGTGATGGTACTTTAGTGAAACACAACTGAGAACTTCAACTTGTCTTTTCTAAAATATCTTAGAATAACAAAAAAATAAAAATAAACAAATGTACACAGCCATAAGAAACAGCTATAAAATTAATGTGGATAGTAGCAATGTCATCTCATGAGTATAATTTTCACATAAACACTAAAACGTACAATACTGACGTATTGGCAGCATCTACATTGTAACTCTTGTTCAACTTTACAGATGTAGATATGTTTATGAATCCTTATTTAATCTATGGATATTTCATTAATGGAATTAATAGCTTGATTCTGTTTTATTTCTGATTAATGAGATGTTGTTTCAGTTGAATTTATTATACGCAGTTGGCTTGTTCACTTCATTTGAAATTGTAACGTTTAACATTATAACATTTTCTGTGTGACTCTGTTTCCAAGTCATTTCAAATGATAAAGTAATTTTAAATAAGACTACACTTTAAAATAAGAATAAAAAAAATCCTGTAATCTTTCAACCATTACTCACACTGAATTTGATGAGAATTATTGAGAAATTTGAGAAAACTCTTCTAAAACTTATGTTTAGGCACAAATTACTGAGATAACATAACCAAGAAAGTGGGTCTATAGTGTATATGTTTTCATATGAGTTTGGAGAAGGAAGGCTTCAGTAGCACAGTGATGGGAGGCTATAAATAGAATTGAGTTCTATCGTCATTAAAGTTCATATTCCTCTCTGGTGTCGTACATGCCACTAGCCCACAACACATTCAGCTAAATTGGTTTTGAAAATCCAGCAAGCACAATTGTTTCTGATGATTCCATGTCCAAACCATGTGGTGTTCTCCCATTAGCAATTCATGAGTTCCCTGAGGACATCTTCACCAAAGAGCAGCGCAAGAGAGGAGCCGTACTACTGCATGTGCTCTGTGTGAGTGACACTCCATCCATCCATCCATCCATCCAACGTTCTATCTATCTATCTATCTATCTATCTATCTATCTATCTATCTATCTATTGTTCTATCTATCTATCATCTATCTATCTATCTATATAGTTCTATCTATCTATCTATCTATCTATCTATCTGTAGTTCTATCTATCGTTCTATCTATCTATCTATCTATCTATCTATATATTGTTCTATCTATCTATCTATCTATCTATCTATCTATCTATCTATTGTTCTATCTATCTATCTATCTATCTATCTTCTTGTTGCAGGTCGTCTATATGTTCTACGCACTGGCTATCGTTTGCGATGATTATTTTGTCCCATCGCTGGAGAAGATCTCAGAGGTGAGTGCAGCCGCTTGTCAGGCATTTCAGCACGTAACTTTCGCTATACTTCAGAAAATGAAGTGATGACAGCCTTGTTTCCCTGCTCCCATGGGTCAGCACTGATGCTATGTGTCATGAACTCTGGCTAAAGTTTTAATTAACATGTCAAGATTGGAAGGTGTGTTTCCTTCTGGGAAATTCCCTTTGTTCACATATATACACAATATATATATATATTAGGGCTGTCAGTTTAACGCGTTAATTAATTAGTTATGAAAAAATTACACGATTAAAATATTTTAACGCAGTTAATGCACTGGCCCCGCCCCCAGACCTGTACGTCATCTTACATTTAATATAGTTGACTGTTGACAAATATGATGCAGGGCAACAACTCCATAAATGCAGTTATGCCATAAAATTCAAGATACTGGTGCAAAAATTCCCCTGTGTGAGTTTTGTCTCATATTTATATATATCACATATCACACAATATCACATGAGCAGCAAGAGCAATAACACACGAGTGCTGTTTTTGTCCCGAATATCACGAGTTTAAGTGTGATTTTATACAACAGTTCTGTAAATGAGAAGTTAATATTGTGTTAACACAATATTATGTGTTTTTGCTCAATTTTGCAGAGAACATATTACCTTTAAATCCACAGCAGAACTGTTGTGCATCTCCGAGCAACACGGCGGTGTTTAGTTTCTGAATAAATCCGCTTTTTGAACGAATCATGTGAACCAATGATTCAAAGGTCCATACATAAAGAGAGCCGTTTACTTTATTCCTGAATGAATCAGCCGTTTGAACAAATCGAATGAGGACATTTACCGCCACCTGATGGCAGATTTAGTTTCTTATTTAGAGTATAATTTCATTAAAAAATAAATAAATGAATGAATGAATGAATTAAAGGGATAGTTCCCCCAAAAAATGAAAATTCTGTCATCATTTACTCACCCTCATGTCGTTTTAAACCTTTCATGCTCTATATGTCTGTCTGTCTGTCTGTCTGTCTGTCTGTCTATCTGTATAGATAGATAGATAGTAGATAGAGCATTAGAACAATAGATAGATAGATATATAGATAGATAGATAGAACGTTAAAACAATATGCCTGTCTGTCTATCTATCTATCTATCTATCTATCTATCTATCTATCTATCTATCTATCTATCTATCTATCTATCTGTCTGTCTGTCTGTCTGTCTGTCTATCTATCTATTTATTGTTCTAATGCTCTATCTGTCTGTCTGTCTGTATGTCTACGTATCTATCTATCTATCTATCTATTGTTCCATTGTTCTATTGTTCTAATGCTTTATCTATCTATCTGTCTGTCTGTCTGTCTATCTATCTATCTATCTATCTGTCTGTCTGTCTGTCT